ATTCCAATCACCTGCTAGAACTACCGAACGAGATGTCATCAAAAACGGCGCAATCCACCGAAACAAAGCAGGCCACTGCGCATGGTTATTGGACGCATAAACCCCAATGAGACGAAGAGCCTTATCCTTTATGGTAACATCCAGCATGCAAAGCCTGCCTGCCGGATCCGCGAAGACAAGAGCACATGCTGCATCCACAGACTTGCTGACCAGCCAGGAAACACCCCTTGAGTGTCCATCAAAACATGCTGAATAGAGGATGAACCTCTTAGGCAGAATGTCCTCATGATTGTGAGATAAAAAATGGGTCTCCTGTACACAACATACATCCACCCCGAGGTGCTGAAGATCGCGATCGAGCCTCGCCCTTCGAGACTCCATCCTCAGGCCCCGGATATTCAGACTTTCTAACCAGAGAGTCGTTATCTGACTGATTAGGGTTGGGACACTGGTTTGAACATGGTCGGATACCGATACCGACAGCCTCTCCCATTGACCCTTGGCCCATCTCAGTCTTGATGGTACTGTCCCAGGGAAATGTCAGTTTCAGTGCTCTATAGAGGGAGGGGTGAACTAAAACTGGGACCCTCCCTGCACAAAACTGTTTCAAATGTTTTAATTGTTTGTTTTCCATGATGGCGATTGGTGGGGACATTTTATCGGCATGCTCCCATCCCTGTTCTTATTACTTTTAAAACCCTCTGGGAATTTTGGAAGTTTTGTGGCTCCTGCACATCCTTGTCCGCATATTGCAGGATCAAAAGAAGGTATTTCAAATCCTTCATGCGGTTTCCATAATCCCTGGCTCTTTTGGCCTGGGCCGGGGAAATTCGGCAGACATCCTCCCCAGAGTTATATATATGTTTTTGAGTCTTTTTCTGTTTGTCTTTCAACTCTTGGCTAGGACTTCTCTGTCTTTTTGAAGTGGGAGGGGGCATTTCAGTGTTTTTAATGGGGGAAGGACTGGGAATATGATCAGGAGTAGTAGAGTATCTTTGTTTGTAAGGGCTGGTATCTCTACTGAGGGGAACTGTTTTTGAAGGTGTGGACAGGGCAGTGGATGTTGAGGGAGTGGCCTTTTTTGTATGGGCCTGTTTTTGTTGGTCAAGCTTTTTCTTTAGTTGCTTTATTTTTTCCATCTTTTCGAAACCGGGGTCATACTGCTGTTCTTTAAAGGTCAACTGTGAGACCGGGGCATCACCCTTAACATTGACAGAGGGAGTGGGGCTGTTTGTGCCTTTAGTCCTTGGGGCTTCATGGGACTGAGGCTCCACTGTATGGCACTTCCCTCTGGCCTTACCAGCAATCTGCCATTCCCCTCCCCCTTCTCCACAACTGCACTAGCAGTGGGCGAAGGCTCTTCGGTGAATGGAGGGTCTTTGAACTCGACCCAACCAGAGGTTTTACCAAACCGGTCCTGGAAGCTGGCATGCCCATTACAGGTGAGGCAGAAGGTAAAGACACAGTCAGAGGGGGATTTTGGTGAACTGGAACCTGACTTCCAGAGGCCTTCTTCTCTGGGCAGGAAGAGGAGAGGTGACCAGTCTCTCCACACTTCTAACACACCGGTTTGCAACCAGTCACAATGACCGACAGCTTCAAGCTCCCTACTTCCAGACAGTTGGGGATGGAGAGGAAGGCTTTATGATCTATCAAAATATCAAAACTCCATCCTCCGTTCAGGCTATCGCAGGAAGCACCCAGTATCTCACCATACTAGGAGAGGAAAAGTGTTCCCCAATAATCTGATGACGGACCTCGTATATTGCCACCCTGGTCCTTCACTTGCCTTCATATTTGGTCCGCAATATCAAGTCCTTTGTTATAAGGTCTCAACTGGAAGCTTCAACACAGTCTTCTGGCGTAGGTAACAATACATCCCACATGATTTAGCCGGCACCTTTTACGATCCTTAGTGGCTTAAACCCCAGGGATTCCACTGATTTCACCACTATGTCTTTCATTGTCAATTTTTATTAGTTCTTGGGGGTCTTCTAAGAGTTCACCTTCTACAAGGTGTGCGTAACTCTTAGCTCACTCCAAGAACTCCACAATATTGATTACGCACTTGGGTGGGGACTTCCAACAAGAGGGCGATTCCCCAGTCTCAGCATTATCTCTTTCCTTTTCCTTGTTTTGGCCATTATTGGCCTCCATATTTTTTTGAATTCACGTTTTGGCGATTTTTGGCCTCCATAGATTTGGTCGTCTTGTTTGGGCAATTTCCTTCTTCCTTATCTAGGGGTGTACTTTTTAATGCTGGGTATTCCTCCATACTATCTTTATCCAGAGGGTGCTTTTTAATAGAAAACAAATGTTTTCTAATTGACCTTCTGTAGCCAGTCAACATTAGTTTCTTTTTTTTTAATTAAGAAAGATGGTATTTTTGGGTTTTTTCTCCACTTTTTTAAAAATATAAGACTGGAGGGTGGTAAGAACAAGGGTCACATATGGGCTTAAAAAAATAAAACAGCAAAAGAAATCTTTAAGAAATCAAAGAAGCGAATCAAATCACAGATGATAAACAGCAAACAATAATCACAAAATAATTTTGCAACAAAATAAATGCAATTAAATACAGTTAAAAAAATACAATAAACGATACAGTAAAAATGACAAGATAAACATTCATCCTTACAATTTGGAAAATTGTCTTTTGTAATAAACTGGAAATGTCCATGGTGAAAGAGGAAATGAAATTTTTTATGATACAAAAAAAAAATTCTTTAAATTATTTCAAAAATATGTAATAAAAATATAGTTATTGACAAAATAAATGTTTTATGACACCACTATAGATGAGTAAAACAAAACGAAAATGGTAACTTAGAGATGAATACAGCAAAACAAAATTGGCATGATCTTACATAATTAAAAATAATAAAGAAATCTCCAACTATTTAAAATAATTAGAAAAACTTTTCTAATACTTGGTATTTTTGTTTGTTTTTGCTTGCACATGAAACATTGGCTTTATTTTTTAAAATGTTTTCTTTGCAGTAAAGAGTTAAATAGTATAAGATGCATATAGTTAAGAGGGAATACAACTTGAGAGTAAGACAATTGAAAGAAGTAGCATATATTTTGTTAATGGCTAGTTATGTAAGGGAGTGCTGAAAAGTTCCCAAATCTGCCAAGAAGAGAATGATCTAAAGTTATGAAATGTACATGCTGTTCACCCTGTGGTGTTCAACACAATTGATAGATTGTTTTCATGTTTTGTTAACTCTTTCAAAAAAGAATTTTGATATTTGGTCTTTGAAATTCTCTATTGCTGTTATTACTGATGAACATTAAAAAAATCTCCTCCTTTTCCAATTCTTTTTATGGTTTTGGAAACAAGAACTAGTCAGACAAAGCAAGATCTAGTGAGTAGATTGGGTGATTTATGCAAACCTGAAATTCTTCTACACATCCATTGTCTGGCCAGTCTAGTGAGCAGGTGTATTGTCCTGCAGTTTATCACACAAATTTCCTTTCAACACCTTTTAATCAACACAGCAAGTTAAATGAGTATTATGCAATAATTGCTTGGCTCAGCTGATGATAGTCATCAAAATGACCTTTTTCCCCAAAAGACCATTGACACAACTTTTCAAACATTTTATGGTCTTTAATTAATTTAGCTGTGAAGAACTCAAATGCCACTACTGCACTGTGATTGGTCTACAGAACATAGAAGTGTATCAAAGTTTCATCAACAATGTCTTTCCAAAAAATATATCACTAGATTGCTGAAAATGCTGCAAAATCAACTTGAAGATGTTCATTTGATACTATTTCTGATTGGCATTTGAATATTTTGATACCCACTTGGATGACAACTTCTGCATACCCAACTACTCACGAATTATAAACCTGATATAATCTCAAAATATCTCTAGTGACTCAACAATTCTTTTGCCTAAGATTCATCAGTTAGCCTAAATTAGATCATGAACATGATTAACAATTTCAAGAAGGTGGTTCCAGCCCATGCTGGAAGTTGGCTCTACCTTTTCACAGTTGTGTATGATGGACAGTTGTCACCCAATGTTTACACACAGATTTCCTTTGAAGTTTTCTTCTACAGGAACTGGAAATTCATGAAAGCTCAAAATTCAGCACTTGAAAATTTCACACTTTCTATTGACATGGTTCTGCCAATGATATGAAATGAATTCAAAACTAATCACAAAACTAATCACAAGGATCCTGTAGAATTGGCAGCTCTTTACATAATGAAAAAGAACATTCTTTCTTGTTACACTGACAAACTCATGAGAAGAAGAAATTTTCAGAACCTTTTGTTGTAAGATAGGCCAGTTTTGATTTCAGTCTGGATTTAACTACTCTATATGGAAGGAGTTGACAAATGTTTTTGTGTATAAGTCAGCTGAGTTACATAGATGATGGCAAATGGTATTATCTAGGTATTTCACATTGCTGGAATGAGTCTATCCATTTGAAATATTAGCAAACATTTATGCTACTGTCTTGTTCTGAACATAATAAATAAGACTCCTTTTTTTACTCTAGAATAAATTGAGTGAAATGCTGTTATAACAACATCAATAATACAAACTTGTTCAACTGTACAAACAAATCTTGGAATGTTAATGACTCTTTTCGCAGTTATAGATAATACTTCTAATTTATTTTTACTTTTGTTTTTTATTTATAGTATAACAATAATTATTTGTTCTCACTGTTGTATTTACAGTGTAAACAAATAGTTATAATTATTAATAGTTACTTTTTTGTTGTAATGCTTATTTTTTTCTTTCTAAACCATTATGGGACAGCTTAGTAAAGAACTTGATTTTGTGGTAAAATATGCTTTAGTCTTGTGTTCTCTCTTAAAAATTATATTATTTTAAAAAGGACAGATTAGATAGTATTTACAAAAAGAAATTGCTGCATGATGTAGTTCAAATTTTTTCAGCAAAATGTCAGTTTACATTGTACTATAATGTAAAATTTACTTTTTTTCTGAGAACAATATATTACTTGTCTTGTAGAATTCTATTTTTATCAATGGAAGTTCTGAATCAAATATGTTTGATGTCAACTCTGATTCAAGGTGTAGTCAGGTAAGTTTTAAGCTTCTTAGAACTACAAATTCAGATGGTTATTGTAATAGAATTTATTTTCTCCTTAATTCTGAATAAATTATTTTGATATTTACAAATAGACATTGTTCATGAAAATGTATGTTAGTGGTATCTTTGAATTTTTTTTAAAGATAAATATTAAATTTGTATTATTTTAGATATCTAAATAATCTTTGTACTTTAATATAATAATCAATGTACTACATGTAAGTCCATTTTTATAATAAAATTTATTATCATTAAAACAGATGTGTGTGTGTGTGTGTGTGTGTGTGTGTAGAATGGTGGAATTTTTGGTCTTCTATTTCTTTATTGAATTTTCTCATGTAATTTTAATTCTTGGAGGAACTTATTTACACTTTGATTACTTATCATTTTCAAATGACTATAGCTATACAGATTTGATTTTTTTAACATAGATTTTTTTAAGCAAGTTGTTTGTTTCTTTTGGTTCAATAATTCATCAGGTTATAATTGTAATGAAACTAATTAAAAGGAATAAAATATTATATTAAAATTATTTTTCATTAATTTATGTTTTTGCTTTAGGATATGTTCTCTAAATTTAAAGTTTCATAAAAATGTTCAAAATTTGGAATTATATTTGTATGAAAATTGATAATTTAAATATTTGACAAATATTGTTATTTGTGATTATTTATATTTTTGTATTATATTATTTTATATTTTTAATTTGAGTAGATATTGAAAGTATTCTTTCATCCAATATTTTTATTCATAATGCGATGAAAAATTATCATTTTGGCTATTTGCATTTCTTCTTACCAATCCAATAAATACATTTCTATGTCTGTTACAAAAATATAAAATCCAGAAATTAATTGATAATATATTGATAAATAAAAAATTATTTGAAAAGTAAGTTTTTTGGGTTTTTTTTAAATTTTTAATAAGAAAGGAAAAAATAAATATGAAATTGCATCAGTTAAACTATATCAGATTTTATTATGCAAGTCAATGTTTTTATAATAAAATTGGTATTAACCAACTGATGTTAAAACTTAAGAGTATACTTATGACACATATACCGTGTGATTTTCAGCTTATGTTTTTATTAGAAATATTTACAGAAAGTTATTTAGTTGTGTGAGATTTTATGTAACTGAAGTGTTGTTCATTATAATATAAATAAATATACATATAATAACATAGTTTTTCATATCTATTTTTAATTTATGACCTATATAGGTTGTCACAGAAAGATATAAACTTGAGAGACAAAAAGAAATTGTAAAGTGATTGGAACACAAAATTGAAAAATCATTGGCAAGATAGGAACATGAAAACGGCTGGCTTTAAGAATGTCATAAGAAATTTAAGAATTAAGAGTAATAAAGAAAAGTGGATTGACCTGCAAGAAAACATTTGAAGGAGTTCGTGTTGCAAATTTAAACAGAGAAAAAAGATGCAGAATATTAAGAACATTGGCTAAAGACATGAAAGTAACCAAACTATCACCTTTTCAGTAAATATTACAAATGGAAATGTGTGAGTTGGTCACAGAAGTACATGAAAATTAATCTCTCAGCAGTAATTTATAGTGACAAATGTAGAAATAATAGCTGGGCTAGAACTTTTGTCCTTCATGAAAATAGTCAATCAACATGATTTAGAAGACAACAGGTGTGAGGTGGAGTAATATTTTCGGTTAGTGTTGTAGGCAGTAAAATTATAAGCCTCTTAAAATTTGATGATTGTATTAAGATAAATACTGATAATTATATTTATAATATTATTTTATATTTTGATATTGAAAACAACCTTTTTTAAATATTTTTTGATGTTCTGTCTTTACTCACTTCATTTCAAAAGAATATATAATACTACAGTCTGACCTGATAGATCCACAAATTATAAAAGTTTACATCAAATTTACATTTTGCCATCTTGATAAACTAATTGCTTAGTGTATTGCTGTCATCATCATAAATATTTTCTTATAGATTATAAGTATATTAATTTTGTTTTGCTAAATTTCAATTTTTATTTGATGTTATGTTTTATCAGATTGTAACAAAATAAATCGCAGTTTTGAACTACAAAATTTAAGATGTCATAACTTGTCTCAGTCACAACAATAGAATAAATACAATTTTGTCAATGATCCAGTGGTGAATCTTATTCTTCCTTGATAAAAAAACTGGGTTCATTGAAGTCTAACTGTTGGAAGTTGTTTTTAACCTAGTCAGTATTGCTAGAGTGCATATGCATCTATGAATCAGAAAAAACAGTAATTGGTTTGGTGAATAGGAAGGATCTCAGTGCCTGTGCTAGTCTTTGAAGTATGAAAGCTTACATTATCTTGCCTCAGAATAGGCTCCATACTTTTTACTATTGCTGTTCCAAATGTTTACAACTTTTGATGCATTAGTTCCAGATCACAATGCTATGATGATTGTAAGAAGCTGTAATAGATGACAGCACCACCCAACAGTCAGAATCTTTTGGGAAGGTTGGAAGGGGAGAAAGTTTGCAACCCCCAAAATGTTATATTTTAATTATAGAAATCACTTTATCATCCACTGCAAGCATATGATCAATAAAAGGATCATTTGTTAAACAAAAAACAAATTATGCCATCAACCCATGCAGACTGCTGATCATCATGGGGTAGACACGTCTGCATTTTATCCAAAGTATCAGCTAACCTGTTGTTCTCAACATGCATGTGAGTGTTTCTGGATGGGCCAACACTACTGTCCTCAATTGTTCATTGTTGAGTGATAACTTGCAAACATGATCAGTGATCCAGATCATCAGAAGCAAATTGTTGTTACCAGTTTGTTCTGAAGCTAATTCTACTTCTCAAGCACAATTAATGTTGCAAGTGACTTTGGCAACACAATGGCTAAGTTTGAACTCATAAAGTATAGTGACATAACAGTCAAATTTATTCATCTTTGCTTGAATATCCTGTAAAAAAAAATAAATAAAAGTAATCTAAAAATTCAAAGACCAGAAAGAGGAGTCTACAGAGTCTTAAAATGATATATTGATGTACAGAAGGGAACCAAAAAATCATCTCCAAAACAACCATTTATTTTGTTTAAACTTATATATATATACAGGGTTCATACAGGTCCTGGAAGCCTTGAAAAATTCTGGAAAATTGACAAGGCCTTTTCCAGGGCTTGAAAAGTTCTGGAAAAACAGCAATAGCCCAAAAGCTCCTTGAAAAATCCTGGAATTTTCTAAATTGATTCATGAAAGCCAAAATGCCAAAACCAAAAAATCTGGCTTTTTTACAAGCTAAAATTGTCCTTTTAAGAAAAAGTTTTTTTTTAGTCATTAGTAATATTTGGCAATTATTTTGAACAGTGTTTGTTCACTTGATTAGAATGAGTTTATGACTTCATAGTTACTTCTGTATTTTCTCACCTAGGTGACTAAAAAGAAAGGGAGAAAGAATATGAAGGCATGTCTTCTCCTAGGTGCTACCCTCACTCAACAAGAAAAGAGGTAAAGCAAAGGTAAAAGACATCAGAAACAAGTAAACATCTCTGTCAAAGATAAATTAATTCACACTAAAAAGATATCTTTCACACATGATGGATAGAAAACAAGTCAGCAAGTCTGATTGTGATGGCACCATCAGTTAGTATAAAGAGTTTGAGGAGGAGACTACTGGAAATATTACTTTCAAGAATTTCAGCAAGCATGAAGACCATCTGGATACTTTGTTCTATTCTTTTTTGTCTAGCAACAAAGAATATCAAAAACTTTGGAAATTTGTTTGCAGATTGCTGGTACTCTCTCATGTACAGACCTCAGTGGAAAGAGATTTTTCAGTCAATAAGGATATTTCCACTGATAATATGAAACTGCAGACTTATTGCACAGCACATTATCACAGACTATTTGGCCATGGTTGGAGGTGCTGGGAATATACCCATGACTCCTCTGCAGTACTTCCAATGCCAGAACAGGATACAACCAATACCTTGAGGCTGAGAATAAAAAAAAGGCAGAAAGAAACATAAAAAACATAATCCATGCTTCTGGAAATTGAAGACCTGAAGACCAAAAAACACGATTTTGAAAGTTGCAAAAAAGATTTGCTCAAGTCAGCTGACAGCTATGTGGAGGAAGCTGAGCAAACTCCAGACTCCACACTTATCGCAAAGTCCAATGCCATTTAAAGATCTACGAAGAACAAATCCATAGAAATATCCAAATCGGAAGAGGAACTGAATGCTAAACTAGATGAACTGAAAAAATGCTAACGTCATTGTGTTCTGTGCCATGTACAACAAAATCATGAGTAGTAGGAGTAGCTAAAATGTGTAGTCTTTTTGTTTTGAAAATTTCTATTTGTAGTTCTAGATAGCTAAAATGTGTAGCAGTAAGAATTAAAGTGTGTAATTCAAAGTTTTCAAGTGTAGTAGAACTCCAAACTGTAGAATGCTACACAAAATATGTAACATAACCAGGTCTGCATTCAGTTGTGTTTTAACCTTCAACACTTGGATTTCTTCACTGCTTTCAAGTGATCCATGTGACATAAATTATTGGAACCAGTTGTAGCTTTTCTTTCAACATTTTATCTGTCAAACTATTATGAGATAATTCACAAAGTTTGTATTTTTGAAATTGATGACATTCACTTTGTGTTGTGTGTATGTGTGTGTGCCTGTGCCAGTTTCAGTCTTTGAAAAGTCCTAGAATTTCTTTTATTCAGATCTGTGGGAACTCTAAAATATCGTAAAATGAGTTCTGGTGCTAATAAAATAAGGCTCATTGTATAATTTATATTAATAATGCAATCATCAGGTGCTGGTTGAAAACTGTTTTCAATCAGCACTTGATTGCATTGTGCATGAAACTCAGTTGTGCTATAAGTGAGGAAAATATATATATATATATATATATATATATATATATATATATTATTTTTTTTTTTTTTTTTTTTCAAAATGAATTCAATAAAAATGTTGTGTGATAATAGTTCCTTATTTCTTTGAATATATTTTTATCTGCTGACTTTTCAGGGTAACAGTAATTCTCCACCTTTAGAAATTGTACAAACTGTTGGGAATGCTAGCTTTGCATCAACAGAAGATGAACAATCTTATGGAGAAATGTCAGTATCTCATATGTCATTTGATGAGGTAAGCTTAAATTTATTTCAATTGTATAATCTAAAAGTAGTGTTAATAGGTAATGAATAAAAGAAACAGATCATTTTTAGTGTGGGAAGTTGGTAAGTGTAAAAATTATAAAATTTGAGTTAATTATAGAATTTTTATGTAAGAAAAAAAGGTGTAATTCAATTTAAATTGTAGCTGAAATGTTGAGCTTTAGAGCAGGCATCTAGTTTTCAAATACAGTAAATATCACAATTTCATACCTGAAAGAATGATGCTCATTAAAGTGTGTAGAATCAATATTTTATCAATTTTATGCTTTTATTATGTACAGTTGTTTATTGGGTCCAAACAGAAATTTTTCCACATGTACACTGGTAGAAAATAAAATTGCAACAGTCCAAAAATGTTTCAAATTGTCTAAAGCTAAACATATTGGTAATATTGGTAAATGATCATATATACAGATCAATATGTGCACAAGTTACGAAATGGGAAGTGTATGAATAATACTCATATCCTGTATTAATGCACTTTATATCTTTCATGGACATTAACACATGCCAGTACTCTTAGATCCATATGATCAGAAAGACAACAATCACCATCCTGTAATACATTATTTCTATGCCTCTTGCACTTGTTGAGGCAATACAGCAAGAGGTGTAGGTGTGGACTAAATGAAGAACTCAATTATTGTCTCATCATGCCCCATGAGGGATAGGTCTGATTACCATGGAAGAGTATATTGAGTAGCATAGGATTTCAGTGGGTGGTCATTATTTTGCTAGTACAGAAAAGACTTCTTGTTACAGAAATGGCAGCAGAATGTGTTTAACAGTGTTTGAAACATACATGGTAATATTCAAATTTCCTGCACAAATATCAAAGGTGAGCATGAGTTGAAACAAATGACACCACACCAAATAATGCTAAGTGTAGAGCTTGTGTGTTATAGGTGAATACACTCTTGGAATTGTCACTCCTTATGACTGTATTGCACACAAATGACCATCACTTATGTGAAGGCAGAAATTACTCTCATTACTTTCAGTTTTCCAGGTCACCCACTTTTGACACTACTTGTGATACATGTGACAGTGATATATCATGTGGAAGTTTAGCTAGAGGCATGTATAATCATAGTACATTAACATAATCATTAACTATCAAATTAATGGTAAATATGCATCAAGTTTTATTTGAAATTTGGATATTCTTCCATGAAAACTGATGATTAACAAGGCTTTAGTAATGATTCAATGAACAAAGCTCATAAAAGTGTTGGTAGTAATGCTTAAAGCTTGCCTGGAAATCCATTGAAAACAATGCACATTCATGAAGGCCTATAACAAGCAGAAAAACTTGAAAAATATTGCTTTTGTGTGGGCTGCAATCAAAGGAAATTAGTGATTGTTTTGGAATTCCCAAACTGTCAGGAGATTGTCTAAAAAGTATATATGATGACTGCTCATACTTCATGGTGTGTAGGGTTGGTTTTTGTAAAATATTACATCACTCCATTTTGCCAGCACCATTGAAATCTATATTTGGCTCTGTTACTTTCTCCAAAACTAAAGTCACTATTGAAAGGAATAAGATTTCAGACCGTGGACGAGATTAAGGAGAATGTAATGAGGTAGCTAATAGGGATCTCTAAAGATGAGGACTTTGGAAAAGTGAAAACCACTTTAACAGGGTGAGATGTGAAGAACACAAAATATTCAACTGTCTACACAAAATTTGGAATGTTAATGATACTTCTGAAAAGTTACTGACAACATTTTATATGTTTTTATCATATACAGTGGAAAACCAAAATATTAACCTGAATATTAAAGTCATGTTCTTAAATACCTGATCAGATCTGGACTTTCATAGCATCCAACTCATTTAGAAATGTCTAAACTGTCATCTATATTCCACCATTTCTCAGATCAATGATTAAAAATGCTTTCCAGTCAATGAATGTTTTGGAAGAAGACAATCCTTTATAAGCAGTTGATTGAAAGAAGTGAAAGCCAACAGAAGTAGAACACTATTAGAGCAGTAATTAGAAGGATCAGACAGTTCATCTGTATTCTTAAAAACCGGAATTACAGAAAAAGAGGATTTCCAACAAGCAGAGTCAGTGGTCTGTGTTGACATTCTTGAGGCCTCCTTTACTCTGTTCCATATTGTGGATACATTTCATATGCACTTCTTATAATGCATCGATTTTACTAAGCAGCTGTACTACATAACTGTTCAGGACTTGGTCTACAGGTATAGGAATGATCATTTGAACCCTGTTGGCAACAAGAAAGCACCACTAATACTTCACATGTAATATGTGTAATAATTCTCTAAAAGGATCATCCACCCTCACAAAGGCCCACAATCTGAATCCTTACAAATGACTCTAATTGAATAAAAAGAATACATAGTGCATTTCTGTGGCATAATATCTGCTGTTAGTAAACTCTTACTGCACTGAATCTTATTTCAGTGTGCCTCAATGTCTAAAGCTAAGACACACATGGTGTATTTATATGAGTGTTACTACATCACAAGCTGGCTGAAACTGAAACTTTTAGTGGAATAACTTAGCATGCAAAAAACATATATATTATGTTAAAATTGGAAATCATCTTTCAAGGTGTTCCTAGTTTATTTTCTGTCAGTTAAACATTTAAAATTGAAAAACTTATATTAAATTCAAATGTTTTTTGTCTTGTCATTTTTATTTTATCATATTTTCAGTATCTCGCATTTTTAATGTGTATTTGCTATATCTCTGCCAACTTTTACTATTAATGGTGTATTTCATAATGAGATGTAAAAATAAAACCAAAATTGCACTGTTAAATCTAATATAAGTGAAAACATATGAATGAAAATATGAATTCTTTGTCTTGTAATACTCATCATTCAAAAAATACTTTTTGTTCTCGCATAAATCATAAGAAAGTTTTACATATTTAAAAGTATCATTTTATCTGTTTATATATAGAATGGTGTGACCTGTAATTCTCCTCTACTTCAGCAAAGAATAGATGAAGAAAATCACCACAGAAACCAATATGGTGAGTTTTACAGTAAGTATATTACACAAGATATATGAAAATTAAAGATTTTATGCTAAATTTATGCTTTAAATAATAATTATCTTACTAATATTTAATTTAATTTAATGCTACAAAATATAGATGTCTGTTTTATTGACATCTTCAAAAGTCAATGTAAAGATTTGTTTTTCAAAACCTTGTGCTGTTGTTTCTTACATAAAAGCTTCTAAAATAAAATGAGCACAATAGAGACCACAAAAATTTGTATTTTTAAATGGGATAATGTAAAAAATTGTTATATGATTATACAGTTTTCATAAACAATGTAATTTTTTCTTATAATATAGTTTTTGTTTGATCAGGAATTTGTCGATAATTTACTTAAAATTATTTGATAATCCATTTAAAATGGATTGTAAGAAGAGAAAAAAATCAGTACACTAATACTTGAAGACTGATAGAAAAATCGCATATTTGAATATCTATATCTGTAAAACAGAAGATGTTTGTCTGTGTGTTTGCTATTTATACATGCCCACATATCTTGACCGATTTTGATGAAATTGTACACACTTGTTGCAAATTTACCAAAATAGGTCAAGACAAACTTTTTAATCTCCTGCCCCCTCCCCAATGTTTGGCAGAAAAATCAATAAAACAGAAGGTGGGGACAACTTTTTGCAAAATCCAAGGCAAAATTACACATGACCAAAATTTTTACTGGATGAGCCCATGTTCTTTGCACTTAATGCAAAACAAAGTTCATGTTATGAGTTTTATGTAAAGTGCTTCATAGTTTTCCTGTGACATCAGCTTCACACAAAAAATTGCAAAAAACTGAAAAAAATCAGTGTTTTTTTTGTACTACTTAAAAACTTGAATAACTTCCTCATTTTTTATCCAAATTTCCTCAAACATGTAAAAAATTTGCAAGAAATAAGATGGTGTGGTTTTAGTGCGGCTTGCTTCCCCGTGTATAATGAAAAACCACAAAAAACTGTTCAAAAAACCCACTTTTTGACTATAATTCCCTGGTTTTTCATATGACGCTTTCCAAATTTGCCATTTAAATTACATATGACACACAAATTGTCTTGCGTGAATGTTTGATTTAGATTATTTCAGTTAAGTGGACAAAATCTGCAACAAACTAGGTCCAGAATCAGCTTTTGCCATTTAGCCAATAGTTTCTTCATATGATTCCATCCTAAATTTTTGCAAAGATTGTTTGAAAAGGATTATTGAAACATTAAAAGGGAAAATTCCTGAGGAACCTCTTATTAACCCCAGCTGCAGTTGAATCAAGCTCTGATGCTTCATCCCTGTTTTTGTTTGATAATTAGATTTGTGAACAATGCCATACTAGTTGAAAGTTGTTGTGGTCAGAGGAAATTTACTGAATATCTAAAACATTGAAACAATTTAACCCTGAGCAACGACCCCACAAGAAGGTTTTATCAATGGAATTCCTTTATTAAGAACAATCAAACACTTCCAAAGAACATACCATAAACAAGATGAATGGGGGGTAGCTTAGTATACCAACAGATGATTCATGCAAGTGGGGACACAGGTAGACATTTCTAGACAGGGAGGTGCGGATATACAATTGCAGCTATGTACACCCAGGCAACGATTGGTACCTCAGCTGTTTTTGAAGAGATGATACTAAAAGTTAAGAGTTATTTGTAAGAAATTTTTAAATGATCTCTATTATATTTTTTATCTTTATAGATATCTAAAATCCTGAAAGTTTTGTCAGTTTATTAAATGTATTGTTTTTTATTTCTTCTCAGATTCCAATGGACCAGATTTATTTACTCAGCTTATAAATGCTAGAAATCAACTCACTTCCATGCGGAACATTAGTCTACCATCAAAATCTTCATTAGTTGAAGATGTTTTCCAAATGTATCGATATGATGATGATATTTGTAACTGTTGCTTAAACTTGGCATCTTCAGAAGATGTTGAACCTGGAGATAGTACAGCATCTTTACAGGCCAAGATGATGTTCTGTACATTTTGGAAAAAAATCTTGCACAAACATTTTTCTGGTTCATTTGAAAAATATCCTATAGTTTGTGCTGAAACTGGTGGAGATTTGTTTGAAATTCTTGGTAAGATACTTCTCCATGGACTTCTTTTATATGGATATTGGCCAATTCATTTTGCAAAAGCTTCAGCTTGTTATGTTCTTACCCAAGTACAAAACCAAAACAATCTCTTGAAGTCTTTTATGAATACACTTTCTGAGTTTGAATTGTCTGTGGTCAATGCTGCGATGAAGGAAGCAAGAATGTTACCACCAAAATTTTCCAAAAGTCTTGAAGAAAGGTTAATTACTGTTCTTGGTAAATATGGAATTCTAAATGTACCTGCTCCATGTGATCTTACTGACACTCTTCAAAGGATTGCACAGACCATTTTGATTCAGCGTCCTTATTGGGCTCTTGTCAAATTATCAGAAGGCAGCAAGAAATTTTGTACAAACTCAGTATTGAATAATTTAACTGAATTTGATGTTGACCATTTGTACCAGACATTAATACCTGATCCTGCTACACTAATTGAAAAGCTGCAGTATGAACATTGTGATATTAATGATGAAGCTACTTATTTACTTGAGACAAAAGTACGCAAACAGCTTGAAGTGTACCTCTGGTCAATTAGCAGGAAACAACTTGAATTAATTGTTGAGCGTTGGTGTGGCTGTGATTGTTTAATAGCACCTAAATATTATGTTACATTTTCATCTGAGTCTAGTTCTGGTGCCCAATTTGACTCTCATCAGTGTTTATTAGTTTTGTCCAGGCGACTGGTTACTCATACAGAAATTGCAGATGCTGTTAATTTAGCAACTCAGCAGTTAAAAATTGAATAAAACCATTACATTATAAGGATGCCTATCGAATTATGTAACATTTATTTTCTTCATTAATTTTTCCGCTTGTAGATAAACATTTACTCATTTTTCAACTGTACATTTTCCTGTAATAAAATCATTTTTTACCAGAACAGCATTTATAAAAAATAAAATATATTTAATACATTGCATCTTTAGAGATGGAAAAAAAAATTTTTTTTTATTTTTTTATAATAAAATTCAAATTTTTTTTAATCTGATCTACTTATGGGAACTGTAATTTTTTCCTTTATAATTATACAAATATTTATCTTCCTTTTCAGAGAAAAAGTCATCTGGAACAAGAACAAGTAAAAAAAATGCTATTCTTTATAATTTATCTTTTCTCTAATAATGCAGTATTAAACAAGTTAAAAATTATGTGAGATTCTCAAAATCTAGCTTTTATTTTACTTGAAGAATAATGATATATGATAAAATATCTATTGCTTTTAGCTAGAGACCTAAGAAATTAATATGATGGATTTTTTTAATATAATTTTCATTTTCTAAGACTTGAAAATATCTTGGTAATTAATGCTTGAATTCTTGGGATATTTCTCAGATAAGACATGAAATAAAACTATTTACTTTTTTTCTTTTATTTAAAAGAATCTTATTTTCTGTTTAGACATTTTGGTTAAAAAAAAAATCAAGATAAATTCTTTGACTCTCTTTCTGATCCATGTATTTTGCAAATGAAAGGTGATCCTTTTCATATTTTCAAGTACAATTCTTTATTTGAGAAATTAAAAGATAGCTAGGATTTTTTTTCAAAGATTAAATTTTGAGAATCTTTTGTAATAGAAATGTGTTAATAATACAAACCTGAAAGTTTGAATTATTCTGCATTTGAAATAAATTTGCCTGTTAGTAAGTTACAATTTTGATCAGAATAGAAATCTGACTAAGATACATAAATTTATGTGATAGCAGATACAATATTAGTCTGGAAAGTACCAACCATTTTGAATATCTCAAACTGGTTGTATGACCTAGGTGTAATCTTAATGTGCACATTTAACTATCAAATTAATGGTAAATATGCATCAAGTTTTATTTGAAATTTGGATATTCTTCCATGAAAACTGATGATTAACAAGGCTTTAGTAATGATTCAATGAACAAAGCTCATAAAAGTGTTGGTAGTAATGCTTAAAGCTTGCCTGGAAATCCATTGAAAACAATGCACATTCATGAAGGCCTATAACAAGCAGAAAAACTTGAAAATATTGCTTTTAATGGGGCTGCAATCAAAGGAAATTGGTGATTGTTTTGGAATTCCCAAACTGTCAGGAGATTGTCTAAAAAGTATATATGATGACTGCTCATACTTCATGGTGTGTAGGGTTGGTTTTTGTAAAATATTACATCACTCCATTTTGCCAGCACCATTGAAATCTATATTTGGCTCTGTTACTTTCTCCAAAACTAAAGTCACTATTGAAAGGAATAAGATTTCAGACCGTGGACGAGATTAAGGAGAATGTGATGAGGTAGCTAATAGGGATCTCTAAAGATGAGGACTTTGGAAAAGTGAAAACCACTTTAACAGGGTGAGATGTGAAGAACACAAAATATTCAACTGTCTACACAAAATTTGGAATGTTAATGATACTTCTGAAAAGTTACTGACAACATTTTATATGTTTTTATCATATACAGTGGAAAAAAGGAGTCAGATATTTTTTCTACAAAGAATGGGACATTTAAAAAATTGAATGATTTATTCTTTATTATTAATGTGATAAATTTTTCTGAGGTTCTAAGTGAAATGACAAAGCAACATTTTATATACATTCATTGAGCATTTATTCTTTTTTATTTTCTAAGTATTCTTTGCACATTTGTAGGCTGATATCCCACAACTTGTCAGCTAAAATTTCATCCTTGGCTAGTTTACTAAGTTCTTTATTAGCAAGGCTAATATTTTCAAAATATTGACCAGATAAATTATCAAGGCTTTTATCTGTTGCCACGTAAATTACAGTTTTTACACCATCTTTTGTACTCCTTCCCATGTATTTAAAAAGAATACGATATAAAAAAATCCTTATTAGTCCCTTTCCTTTAAAAGGATAATTTTTTAATATTCCAGTTTTCACTATTCCAGGATGAAGAGAATTTGAAATTACCCTGGTAGATTTGAGTTTTTTGGCTAATATCTTTGAGTGGAGGATATTACAAAGTTTACTTGTAGCATATCCTGATAGATTGGGATATCTTATTTTTCCATCTTGTGGGCCCTGATCAAAACTAGGACACTTTTTCACAAATACATGAGCATATGAACTAATGTTCACAATCCTACTTGGAGCAGATTTTTTTAGAAGGTCCAGAAGCAAGTATGTTAGGAGAAAATGTCCTAAATAATTAATGCCAAAGAACTGATCAAATTTCTGCTTAGTACACTCAGATACTCTCACACCAATTCCTGCATTGTTGATCAAAATATCTAACCTGAAAAAAAGAAGATACAATATATAAAACCAGTACATTTACAGTTTTGCTTTTACATCAGAATATTATTTAATATTTATTTCTCTACTTCAGTCTCATTAAAGATTTAAAATGTGGTAATTTTATATTGATTATAATAACTCACAAATGATGTTTCATATATGTATAGATTTCTTTGTCAAAAACAAAGAATAATATTTACATGCTCCTTTTATGAGAGCATGCTAAAAATTTCTTAGTCACACATCCAAGAATCTAATCAAAAGACTAAACCAGATTTTTTTTTATTTTTTGGGAAGTGCTCTTTTGTCAGACCAAGAACTTTTCAGTCCTCTCCTCCCTCTTATAAGAAAAATAATCACTTATTCAAATAAAGAAATCTATAAAGAATTTTTGGGAGGGGGTGCATTTTGTTCTTTATAAATCATTGAACTGGAACTCACAATTGAAATAATTTAATTCAGACTATATATGTTAAGTAGATAACCTAATTTGGAGATATAAAAAGAATTTGTAATGTAGAGATAAATATTTAAATTGTTTTATTTCTATTATATAAATAAGTTATTTTTCATATTGTATTTACTCAAGTTATGATATTTGTAAATTGTATTAACAATTTTTTAATAAAAAGTTAAAACTTAGAAATGTTTTCGGTTTTGACTCTTAAATTACAAACTTTTTTTTCAAATGATAGCCTTTGACTTAATCATAAAGCTTAATAGTAAAGATACAAAATTAATAATTGATTTAAAAAAGACTGTAACAAACCACTTGCAGAAATGGAATAAAAGAAATCTTGAAGGATTTGTATTCATAAAATATAAATCGAGGTTCCTGCTAATACAGTCCCCCTCCTCATGTTTGGTTAATTAGATATTAGAATTGCCATGTTTCTTTTGAAGAACATTCAATACAATTTGATTGCTTCTAAAACGAATAGGTAAGGAAAATGAAATATAAAGTAATATATTCTGACTTTTTCTGTTTTAATGAATTTTGGTGAAGACATGATAGCATATTTAAAAAATTTGAACTTGAAATTTTATTCCTTGATTATTTTATTCATTAAAATCATGAAAAGAGCTATTTTCTGTATTTTTGTATAGAAAAATTTTTTCTTTTAATTTTTAGTTCCTATCGAGGTACAATTAATATTCTGATAAGTAATCTTTAAATTTGTCAGAAGCATTACAAAATAAAAAAAGTTTATCTACATTCAATTGCATTAAAAAGTAGTTAAATATGGAAAACTATTAAAATTAATTTCAAATCAATTCTGGTAATCATACAAGTATTTGAAGAAAAGATTTACCTCTATGGAGCAAAAGATTCCAGTTGAAACTGGTTTTGTGAAGTTGGAAACGTGCGTAACTTTTTTCTAGGTAATTTTGACTTATCATTTTCATCAAAATAAAACTTTAGTTTTATTTTGATGAAAATGATAAGTCAAAATTAGCTGCCTCATTTTGAATAAATGAATAAAAAAAAGTTATGAAATATCTTGGAATATTAATTGATTCTCAGTTTAAAATAAATTTGAAAATTATAGGAAATATTTCTCAACATTCATTTTCAATTAATCCAGGGACAATCAGTACTTTGTTGAGATAAAATATCTTACAAAAGGTTGCATAACTAAGCAACGTTTTCCACCTCTTCCTAATTTAAAAATAATAAAAATGGAAAGGAAACCTACTTTTTCATAACAATTAAGTTAATCTACAAAGATACTGATCATAAATACGTTCCAAACTCAGATTTTTATCACTAATAGAAACGCTAAATTGAAAAAGAAAAATATTTAAAAGTTCCCGATGTCCATTATGGAAGTATTTAATTGAAAAAGAAAGGAAAAAGAAGACTGGAAAGAGAAAATAAGACAGTAGCTGAGAAATTATAGGCAGAAAAAGATTATAATTAAAAAAACAAACTCTTTAAGTGAATTAAGGTCACTGATATTTATGTGGTTAATTTTGGGGAAATTCTTTCCAAATAAATAGTAAATTAACAGAATTAATTTACCAAAAGAAGTTATACGAACCTGTCTTCGTTCTGGTTGATTTTTTGGGCAAATTTTTTAACAGACTCAAGATCACTTAAGTCTAAGTGCATTGCGACAATATTTGAATTTGCGGTCGTGTTACTAATCTCTTCGGCGGCCTCTCGCGCCTTTACCAAGTTCCTGCATGCTAGTATCACCCTAGAGCCTCGCTCTGCTAAAACTAGGGCAGTTTCTTTCCCTATTCCAGAGTTGGCTCCAGTTATTAATGCAGTCTTTCCATGAAGTGTCACATCACTTAGATATGTAAGAGGTCTCGTATGGCGATTCAAAATTAATTTCACACGGTTCGCATAAAGCACCAGGCATATAATGGTTATTAATATCAAAGTAAGAGGCAACATTATCGTTGTATTGTTTCGTGCTATCCTTTCTATCAATGACGTCATAGTTTGTCAAGTGACACCTCTTACCTGACATTATTGTTATCTTTCCTGGCAATGTTCATTTGTCAGTTCCAGTTTGAGTTACTTTTGTCTCATTCACAGTTAAGTACATGACCTTCAAGCCATAAGCTTTATCTATACAATTTTAATCTCATATAATTCAACGTTCTTATCTTTTAAAACATCTTATTTTTTTTATCTTGTTTTGTATAATTGTAAATATGATGGTATTATTTTGTGCTTTCTGGCTGATTATAAATCCTATTTTTTGCTGTTAATTAATAATGATCAACTAAAAATGTATGGTAATTAACAAATAAATTGAACGTTCTTATGTTTTCTGCCAACAGAAATGCCAGCGAGATACAGAAGATTACATCAGGGGTAATATCTCAGATGAAGTTCTCATTTTATTTAAAAGAACCAATGCAATGAAAAATTATTAAAAGTTTTCATGACCAAAGGTTATTTTTCTTTGAATTCCAAAAGACTGTAAAGAGATAAAGTACCGTATTTGATGGCATATAAGGCCCTTTTTTTTTTTACTAAAAATATCTTTTAAAATTCCCATGCGTCTTTTATACCATATGTAGGTTTAATATTCGGCCGAAATTAGCTACCTGGCAACTCCTATAAGCTTAGACTTTAGAGTAACTTTTATATACCTATTGTCATTTAAAAGTGCAGATTAAAAGTGATAATATTCATTATATTAATTTCATCACGCTTAAAATTACTACTTTGTTTCACTAAAATTATATGCAATAAATTCAAATTATATATTTGTAAAATATTGTCGGAGTTAGCGCCTCCTTAATTCCCTAATTGTTCACTAGGGGTCTATCTCCCTATACTATAAATACTGGGCAACTTCTTGCCTCGTTCTCTTTTTCATTCCTTCTGACTGTGTTGGACGTTTTTGGCTCTTTTTCACTTTGCATTTGAGACCGTTCTTTTTTTTTTTTGTCCCGCTGAGAAATTTTTTGAACTTTTGGCGTTATTCCGTTACAGATTTATTTTTACCGTTTTCTTACGTTCCTTTTTGATTGTTTGGTAAATATTTGATTTTTTCTTTCCTTTTAAATCCGTACCCTCCCCATCTTTCATTTTTTATTTATTTTGCTATTAATTTTTTTTTTATTTAACTTTTTTTATTTATCTCTTACGTTTTCTTTTTTGAATTTATTTTCTCTCCGTATCCACTTCCCAGAGTTATTTGTTTATTTTTTATTTCCACGTTCGACTTTATTTTTCTTTATTATTACACGTCACTTTATTCTGCCTTCTTTCTTTTAATCCGTAAATTTCTGTGTTTTTTATCTGTTTATTATCGTCTGTAAAATATTTGTTTTTTAATTGTGCGTTTATTTTGTATATTCCATCCTTTTTTTTGTTTTTTTGTTTTTAGGGTTGACCGTCTTATCGGCAGCCATATTGTAAATTGTGACATTTTGTTTACCGTTTATAACTGTTCGTTTTATTTGTTGCTTTCTTGTCTGTCGTCCTGTTTGTACTTGTTTTAAATTTGTAGTTTCGCCTTTTGGCGAACCCTGTTTACTTGCATGTCCAATTGTTTGTTTAAATTGTTTCGCCTTTAGGCGAACCGTGTCTATTTCATCTTTTTGTACGTCCTTTGTCGTTTTGTAAATTTGTAGTTTCGCCTTTGGGCGAACCTTGTTCACTTCTTGTACGTCCATTTGTTTTGCGAACCTTGTCTATTTAATTTTATTATACGTCTTTCTGTTTTGTGAATTTGTAGTCTCGCTCACGAGCGAACCTTGTTTTTTGTATTTATTAATTTTATTGCCTCGCTGTTAAGCGAATCTTGTTTGTTTCAAAAAAAAATTTTTTTTTCGCAGATGGGCGAAACTTAATCTCTCTTTTTCCTAGTTATCACCCCTCCCCCTCCCTTGAAAATGGAAAGAAAAAGGGTACCTTCCTTTTTAATTATAAAGAAGAAACCCAAAGTGGCCGACCTTAGGAGGTCAGTAAGAAAACATCTGTTTTCCATTAAAAAAGACCCCCCCCCCGATAAGAATGATCCCGAAGAATACCCGGAATTAGTCCCCGATAATCAAGAGGCTATTAATGTCAATGACGCAACATGCATGGAAGCCGATAATGGCATTTCCGATAAAAGTACGGTGGCCAAAAATGGTCAAAATAAAAAAGTACGGTGGCCAATAATGGCCCCAAATAAAAAAAAAAGTACAGTGGCCAATAAGGGCCAAGAAGGAGACCAAATATCAGCATCAAATAATAAGACCAGTGATAACACAGAGGCCGGAGAATTGCCCTGTTGTTGGAAGCCCCCCCCCCCCACTCGAAGTGTATAATCCATATTGTGGAGTTCTTGGAGCGTGCCAAGAGTTACGCACACCTTGTCGTGAAAAACGGGCTCTGGGAGGACCCGAAAGAACTGAAGAAGATCGAGAAACGAATCGTGTCAGTCTTCGTCGTCGATAAGCGTACGCGCAAGATTTGTCGTTTGACGAAAGACACAGTGGTAAAAACACTGGAGTCCCAGGGGTTTAAGCCACTAAGAATCGTCAAGGGTTCGCGCTTTTTCATGTGCGACATATTGCTACCCACACCAGAAGATTGTCTGAAGATGACATCTAGAGAGATAATTACCAAAGACATTATTCTGAGAACAGAATATGAAGGCAGGCGAGGTCCCTCCTCAGGTTGTCGCAGTATGGCGAAATTCTGGGTGCTTCCTGCGATAGCTTGACCGGGGGGGGGGAGTTTCGGCATCATGTTAGATGAAAAGGCCTTCCTCTCCATCCTCAACTGTCTGGAGATTGGGAGCCTGAAGCTGCCGGTCATCGTGACTGGCCGCAAACCAGTGTATTGGAAGTTTGGGAAGACTGGTCACCTTTCCTCTTCCTGCCCAGAGAAGAAGGCCTCTGGAGGTCAGGCCCCAAGCGACCAAAATCCCCCCCATGACCGCGTCTTCGAATACTGCCTCGCCTGTAATGAGCATGCCAGCTGCTGGGACCGGAGTGGAGAATCCCCCGGTTGGGTCAAAATCGAAGCCCCCATTTCCCGAAGAGCCTTCGCCCTCTGCTAGTGCAGTTGTGGAGAAGGGAGAGGTGGAATGGCTGGTTGTTGGCAAGGGCAGAGGGAAGCTCCGGACAGCGGGTCCTCAGTCCCCTGAAGCCCCCGAGACAAAAGACACGGACAGTCCCACTCCCATTGTCAACAGTAAGGGCGATGCCCCGGCCTCGGAAACATCATTGCAAGAACTGCAAAAGAAATACGATCCTGGTTTTGAGAAGACCGAAAAAATTAAAAAATTAAAAGAAAAGCTCGACTCTCAAAAGGACCCTAAATCTAAAAAGGCCACTCCTGCAACCTCCTCTGCCCCACATTCTCAAGAGACACTTTCCTCCCATCCAAAAATGACCTCCCCTAGGAAAAATGTTATTGCCTCCACATCTTCACAGAAACACTCCTCCCATCCAGCATCTCCTGTCAAGACCCCTTCATCTCAAATGGTCACTTCTTCCACTTCCTTCCATTCCTAAACCCCTCTCAGTAGAGACCCCAGCCCTTTCAGACAACATTTTACTCCCTGTCCCTCTCCCAGTCCTTCACCCCGTAAACCGCCCCTTAACGCACCTGAAATGCCCCCTCCTGTTAGTAAGAGACAAAGAAGTCCTAAGTCTTGGGGAGCAAGATTTCCGGGACCAGCTGCTACTAATGATACAAAGGGAGCTGACGGGGGCTGTGGTGGGAAATGCTTGGTGGGATAATCTTAAATCCAAAATTAGAACGTTTGCTGCTGATTATAGTCGTCGGCTCAATCTAGATAGATTAGCGGCGCAAACGGCTTGTGAGCAAAAAGTTGATCGGGCGATTAAATCCCGTGATAGTGGGGACGTAGCCTTAGCTAAGGCAGAGTTGGCCTCCTTGCTTATCAAGCTCTGGTAGTTAGAGCTAGGTTAAAAAGAATGTCTTCTGAGGCAACGAATATGGCCGCTGAATTGCATGCAGAGGAGGTTCAGAGTGCATCTCGGCGGCATATCGCATGCGTCACATTGCCAGATAAGCGGACCGTGACTACAAACGAGGGCATATGTGAGGCTTTTCGTGAGTATTTTCAAGAACTATTCACCAGGGAGTCCGGTCTGAGCCCTGCTCAGTTCGACGCCTATTTAGCTTATTTCCCCTGCCTTGAGGCAGCTGAAGTGGCTAGGTGCGAGGGTCTCATAACAGAGTCGGAAATCTGGGATGCGCTGAAACAGGTTGGCCTGGACAAATCTCCGGGACTAGATGGTCTTCCGTATGAAGTGTATTTGAGGCAGTCGCCCGTTTTTGTTCACTTGCTGGCACTGATTTTCGGCAACTGGTTGAAGCAGGGGTCTATACCCCAACGTTTCACCAGGGGCGTAATCAAGTTGTTACGTAAGGATAAAATCGGTGGGGGTGGGTTAGGTAACTTTCGCCCTTTAACTATGTTAAACACAGAATTAAAGATCTTGGCTAAGGTCTTAGCGAACTCCTTGCAGGCTGTCCTATCTAGTTTGATTGGCTCGGAACAGACTTGTGCTGTGAAGGGCAGGACTATTCCGGACAACCTTCATATGGTACGCTTGATCACCGAGCAAGTCGACAGTGAAGCCGCGCTGATCAATTTAGGTCAGTCCAAGGTCTTCGATAGGGTTGACCATCGGTTTCTGCAGGCTGAACTTTCGGCGGCCGGTTTTGGGCCGTACTTTCGCACCTGGATCCGACTTCTGTATGCGATCCCCGATGCGCTGGTGGAGGTGAACGGAGTACGATTGGAGCCTTTCGTATTGTCTCGCTCCATTCGTCAAGGTTGTCCGCTTTCGC